ACATAAGAAGAACGGTTGCAGGAACTGGGTATGTCTAGTTTAATGAAAAGAAGGGGAGACATGATAGCAGTGTTCCAATATCTGCAGGGGCTGCCACAAATAAGAAGGAGTCAAGCTATTATCCAAAACACCTGATGGTAGGACAAGAAGCAATGGGTGGAAACTAATCAAGGAGAGAAGCAAGGAGAAATTTCCTGACAGTTAGAACAATTAATCAGTGGAACAACTTGCCTCCAGAAGTTGTGAATGCTCCAACACTGGAAGTTTTTAAAAAGATGTTGGATAACCATTTGTCTGAAGTGGTGGAGAGTTTCCTGCTAAGCAGGGGGTTTAGACTAGAAGACCTCCAAGGCCCCTTCCAACTTTGTTTTTTTATTCTAATGCTTTGTATTTAAGTACACTTACGATAATTTAGAAAATATTTAAATATTTCTCTACCATAGTCACAGACAAATAAATATATGATTATACATACACACACACACACACACACACACACACACACATCTTAGTAATTAGTACAGCCTCATTGAAATGAATGCAATCTTTCTCGCTGATATCAGTAGGTTTTATATATTTTTTAAAAATATAGTCTTTATATTTTGTAAACAGAAAATTTATTTCATCTGTTAAAGCTGTAATTGATATGGCTTTATAAGATGAAATGGTTGTTCAAGAGAGATTTGAATTTACATCTTCATTCAGCAGTAAAACTCCTTGATTACAGAAAGCTGTTAACTATCACACAAATAAATTTATCTTACAGTGTTGTCTGAAGAATAAAAATTAAAATGTGTGAAGTGGTACAAAAACTATGTATCATGTTTAACTTGAAATATGTTTCCATCTTATTGTATATGAAAGAGCTTTTTTCTACTCTCTTTTCCAATCCATGTTAGCAATTTGAAAAATGAAAAGGATTTATTTAGAAGAATTCATATTTCATGGAAATATACTGTCCTGATAGATACACATATTGTCACCGAGTGTATATGTGTGGGATACACCTATATACTTTTCTAACTAATCCACCTGGTGGCAAATTTGTTGTGAGAATCTCCTAACTCTCACCAGAAAAACAAAGAAAGCTAATACATTTGAACAACTTGTAATAGCATTTCACCAGTCACCAAGTCATTGTCAATTGCTAGTTATCAAATCATTCATCAGCAGTCCTGAGTCATAAATGCATGAAGTCAAAGACTGAATCACTTATATTTATCTTACAAAAACTCTATCATTAAGATGAATAAATAAAGTATAATATCATATATTATCATAAAACATAAAATAACATAACAAACGTAATGTAACGTAACATAACAACATAACCATCAAATCTTAAAATCATATTTAAATAATAAATTTAAATATAGGATATCAAAGGTATAAGTTAAATCAATTACATTCATCTTGTAAAATAAATTATGCAATCATTTTTTCATGTCTTGAAAAAAATTAATATAGGCTGCAATGTTAATGACATATTGTTAATTATTGCAGTAGACACGGGAGCTGATTTAAATGTCTATTTAAGAAGACTTCGAGTTATATCATTTAGGCACCTGGTATGTGGCCTCAACATGGAACATATTTATTATCACACATCTTCAAAAAAAATTCATATATTATCCTTTTAATATTCTGTAACTGCTATACATAATGCACAAATTCTGCTTTAAAGAGTGAAGGTGGAAACCTATTGTCTTAATATTGTTCTTTATTCTAATAGTAATGGTTCCTGCACATATATCTTGCACGTGCAAAATCTACATTTTTCAAGCAAAGCAAAATGCAGCAGCCACTTAGCTTAGAAAAGGGATGGATCAACAAGTCAAATACATGGTTCAGAACAATTTTTTACTTGTACTGTTGATACAGCAAAATGTCTCTTCAAAGATATGCTCATTCTTACTGATGGTTTGAAACAAAAAGATAAAACATAAAACTAAACTCAAAACCCAAGGATATTAAAAATCAGTTGGAGCAACATCATTTGGTAGAGATAGGCAGCATACAAATTAAAAAACAAACAAACAAACGACAGCAAGAAGCCCATCTAAAGTGATATATCTTTTTTATTAAAGAGTAAATTAAGAGATACATTTCTTCAATCCTAAATATACTCTAAAAACAGGGGAAAGGACAGGGAAAGATCAACTAAATTATTGCTAGATAAGTTTTTAAAAATGTTTTGATTGATTCATTGTTCCATCAAGTCATTTTCAACTCTTACAGACCACATAGTTTTTCTTTGCACAAATCATAAAGAAGGACATTGATGTGACCTGCAAATAAGAATGTGCGTACAAAAATTTACATAGAATGGTATGCTTTATGCATATTTACAGTATTAATATGCAGAATACTAGGAAGACAGTAC